GTGACGGACATTTCAGAGTGAAAGATAAAGTTTTAATTTTTTCAACGCACTTATTTATTTTAAGCATTCGACTCTTTGCAGTTGCTTTGTTCACTGTAAGCTACAAGTGGTGGGTTACCACTGTTTTGATCCTTCACCTTACGGTAATAACGATATGTGACATCGTTTGGCTTTGCAGAGGACGAGGCCGCAACGAATGGGAACAGCTGTGGGAAGTCTTCCAGCCGTTTTTTTACTGGTTTCATCGATTACATCGACTACGAGATGATTTTTCAATACAAGCAAATTACGTCGAAGAAGGAAACAAAAAGGAATATTTAAGAAGAATGCAGTTGGTCTCCAACGTGCTGTTTGTGATAGAAAACATCACTATTATCCTGCTGTTTTATTTCAGTCATTTCCCTCACAACTGGTACTCCTTACCAGTCACCATCTGCGTCTGTTTGTTTGCTGTTCCCGGGGCAATAATGAGACTTACTCACTTCAATTACTAAAGGAAGAAATCAGATGGTCGCCGATCCAGGAGTACCCAACGATCATATGCACTTAGTAGCATTCTAAAGTAACCCCTCCAGGGTTGCAGCAATATGTCTATGAAACGTCGGTATAAATAGGCTGATCTTGTGTATTGGTACGTCTAAAGTCAATATGTGATCGATGATAATGTCTGCTGACTAAAGTGTATGATGTTTAAGAACAGGAACAAATAATACCGTTCAAGTGCAGCGGCAATCGTATAGTAATCCCGTCGAGGTTAAACCATTATTAAAAGGGGGTAGATTATAGTCTGATCTTGTATTGGCTCGTCGCAATCTAAGTTTGTATGTGTTCTGTGTCTTTATGTAGGCCCCGGGATGTAGGCTAACTATAACGTTCAAGTGCCGCAACTAGCTTATTTACTGTTGACTGTCTGGAGCAACACTTCTGAAACTCATCTTAACAAGATCCAGGCTGTTCAAAATTTCGCTTGTAGGATTGTTTCTGAAGCCAAAACGTACGATCATGTAACTCCTATATTAAAAGAACTTAAGTGGTACCTATAAGAAAACAACTATACTCTTAGAAAAGCTATCTTAGTCTTCAAATGTATACTGAACGGTATGGTCCCATAGTAATTAGCGGATTGTAAAATGATTGGTAGCATTTCACATAGCCAAACTATAGGAGTTTTTATTCCGCTCCTTAAAACAACCAAACTTTGCAAAAACGTTAAGCTCTCATGCGATAAAAGCTGCTTGAAGAATTTGTTTGTCTTTCAAACATAATATATTTTAGGGCATTTTTCCTTTTTAGAACTATTAATAATGAGTCATCTGGCTACAGTAAGAGAGATTAGGTTTATAAATTTTCCAACGTCATTTGTATTTTATTTTAACTTAGTTGTGTAGTATGTTTGTATGTACCTTTGAAAAGCCTTAATAAGGGATGGAATATAATAAAGTATGTATGTATGTATCTAGTGCCAACTGGGACACGTATTTTTCAGGGGCACCCAACGACTGTTTTCTGTAAAATATCTGTTCGGACAAGCAAATGTTGCTTTGAATTTTCTATTACTTGAGGACAGCTAAAAATTTCTAGATGGCTGTTCCATTCATAAACAACTTTCGAAGCTTATCTAATAAATTCCCTATGATTTTCTGAAGTTCCATTTTTTCACATTTCACTCGTCCTCAGGTTAGGCTATTTTCTAGAAAAAAGGAAGCTAATATTTTCGGATTCAAAATTGTGACGGAGGGGAAACAGAAAAATCAGAAGCCCTTAGTGTTATTTCAAAAAGCCTCAAGTTCCCCTAGGATGACCGAACAGATACAAATTTTATAGCGCCCTCAGAATGCATTTCTAGATTCAATTCAATTCTTTATTTGACACTATATAAGATATTTACATAAGTGTACATAGGAAGGAAAATAAAGTAGCTGACAAATAATAATTAACTAAAAGACTAAGGCCCGTTTCAAACGTCGTGCTACTGCCGTGCCGAACTCAGTTGATCGAATTAAATTCGACTTTAGCAGGGGCGGATCCAGGATTTTTTTAGGAGGGGGTGCACTCGTCTCTTGCTCTACTTCAACACCAATAAACCACATAGTTTTTTTTTTTTTACAAAAACCGCAGGTCATCTCAGGCGGGGACGGGGGGTGCGCACCCCCTGCACCCTCCCCCTAGATCCGCCCCTGTTTAGTACGCGGCAGTAGCTCGACTTGGTTTTAGACGTCGTGCTACTGCCGTGCCGAACTCAATTCATAAATACATTAGAATATATTAAAAGTTTGCTAAACCGTTTCTTTATTTTTGTGTTTTGTTTTTGGCAACAGCAGTCCCATTCGACTGTCATTGTGTGAATTAAATTCGACGTCTGAAACCAAGTCGTGCCAGTGTCGTGCTGCAGTCGAGCTACAGTCGAGCCAGCTTAGCACGGCAGTAGCACGACGTTTGAAACAGGCCTAAGAGATCTAAAAGTACTCTGGATAGGCTAAAAAGTGTTTTCAATGTATTTGTAGGGAAACCGTCGTTGGGTGCCCGTACTTGTACCGTACGTTTGTGACTACTACTTGTAGATGACTAGAATGTGTTTATCAAACAATACAATCGCTCATGGTAATTTTGTTGATTGCCTGGAGTCGTACTGATTGCTTCTTAGCAATGTTTTGTTGTAGTAAAAAATATTGACTGAACTGAAGTGTGACAGATCATGACAGATGTCGACAAAATAGCAAAGCTGTAGTTGTCGCTAAGACCTAGTGGGTTAATTTTCTTATAATATTCTCGAGCATTATCACTATCGCAATGGCGATTTTTGCAACATAGTAAGAGAATAACCTTAACTTCAAATCTATACTTTACTAAAAAATTCGCCCCGGGTCATAATTATGTTGCGCTCTGCGTTGCGTGACAAAGCAATTCTAAGGTTTTTTAAAACCTTAGTATCACAAAGGGTTTTATCAATAGTTTGAGATCACTTTTCGATCGGGGCAATAAATTAGCATCACCTTCAAAACGCGAATAGTTGTTAAGTATAAATTATTAGCACTTTTGCATTTTACACTCTAAACATTCCGGACAGGCATACAGTCTACCATCTAAACACAATCTGATGTCAACCATAACAATCTTTTACTAAGGGTAGAAGAGAGCGACCGAAGCACCTTGAATATTTATTAGTTCTGACCTTATTCAAAGGAGTGCGCTTATTCGAGGAAGTAGGGGGTGGCTTATTAACGTTATTCCAGTTAACAATGTAACCGTACCCTGAGACAAATTAGCCATGGTGGATTCCGTCTTTAAATCATGACGAAACAAACTCGCTATTTCTTTATGTATTCAATTAAAATGTCTTCCAGAACACACTGGCTGTACTCCCGACTAACATTCTCTCATTCTGTATTCTGACGTCTCTCAGTCAGTTAATTAATAGCTGAAATTCTGACTAAATTTGAACGGAAGCTATGCAAGAATTCGCAAAACATTTTGCTCGATGGGTGTTATCTACGTTTTGAGGAGTATTTGCAAGAAAATACATCTTTTTATATCTTGAAATCGGCCGAGAAACAGGCCAAAGTTTTGAAAAAAAGTCTTCGAGGAGGTAAGCTTACAAATATTTTGCATGAATAATAAAACATTTATTGAACTTGTCTTTATTATGCACATCAATTGGAAGTAAGGCCTTTTCCCTTCTAATATGCCTCAATGGCCGGGTCGATCCGGTGGGAGAGGCGATGGTGAACTGCTTGAATTCACAAATGATTACCTTATACCATATAATTTTCGGTTGAGTTTTAGACCGCAACGCTAGGAAACCTCAATTTGTGACAGCTGCTAACAAATTAACAGTGAATATGAACTTGTCGTACAGTCTTTAATGAACTATTACCATATCAACATATGTGTCATGAGCCACAAAAGCGCCCCAGGATCAAAATTATGATAATGCTCTGTTTTGCGTGTAAAAAAAGGAAACAGGTCTGAAGTGTTAAACAAAACCAATTTGACAGAGACAGCTTTGTTTTAAAAGTTTCCTAACAGATTGACCGAACTTATCCACGAAATGTGTTGCCTGCAGACTAAGCTTACTATTCAACAAAAATTCCGGTTTCTTGAAATTTGGAAACTCCAGGTTCCCAAAGGAACGGCACATTACGACCCAATCCAAGATACCGCTAGTCTGCTACACAGACGACTCTAAAAACGGCTGTGTAGCAGACTAAGGTTCCGCGCGTTTGGTTATCGTACTTGTAAGCAGCATACAAAAGAGCGGTACTGGCTATAGCAATTTGGCAAATGGAAAGGAACCCAGTAGGACCGATCAAATTGGACCATCTTCAAAGGTGCCCAAATATTCGATCGGACCAAACCGAAATCTTCCGTTCCATTTGATGTCTTTCCGAAATTTCCGCAATTTTGGGCTGAATGAATGGAAAGTCCCTTATGATGATTGATGATCACCCGTCACTGCGTCTGGATCTCTTTTATCTCTGTTAAGACACTGATTCTGTTTCGTAAAAATATATGAAGTCTAAAACATGAACTCGCATTTACTACGAATTTCCATTTTAATTCAATGTTTTATGGGTCACTTCACAACTTTCCCAACCATGATAAACACGAGCCAATGAGACAGGAAGTATTTTTTTGTTTTCTGCAGTCAGCAACCGAGTCAGAAAGGTCGAAGTAATGGCAGAACTCAAATGGTACGGTATCTTCGTGGTTCTTTTTGGAACCATTTTAAGCATTGCCGACCCCATCACTGACATTCTTACCGACTGGTGGAATTCTACCGCACAGATCATAAGACGTGGTTCGGTGTGGGGCTTACATTTCTTATTTTGCTAAGTTTCTTTTTTCTTTTAGTTAACTTTGCCCTTGAATTTTCGAGAGAAGATGAAGAATCAGAACTGGAAGAATTTACGGCTTGGAAATGCACACATGCTTCATTTCTTGGATGCAATCCACTCTATCCGGCCTGGCTGAAGCTCCGAACGCTTTTCCTCTACCTAAAGATGTTACTAAAACGCAGGCAACGTATCAACGATCAAACAAGTGAAGACTTCGAGCATGTACTAGTTTGGAGCAAATACGCTGTTCTGTTCGAGGCCGCTCTTGAATCAGCTCCTCAGTTCATTATTCAGTTGTACGCCATGGTTGTTCAACAGCAATCCGTGACGATAGTTCAAATGGTTTCCCTATCTGTGTCTTTCCTCAGCATGGCTTGGGCGTCAATTGTTGCTGATGAGGCTCTTCACAGTAACCAAGGAGACCTCAACTTCAGTGTACAAGATAGAGTTCTACAGTTTGTAACGTACCTATTTATTTTAAGCAGTCGACTCTTTGCAGTTGCTTTGTTCACTGTAAGCTACAAGTGGTGGGTTACCAGTGTTTTGATCCTTCACTGTGCGGTGATGGTGTTATGTGACGTTTGCCAAAAAGAAAGCTTGGTTTCCGGAAACAAATTTATATCGGTTTTAGTCTCCTGCATCCATTGGTTACGAGATGATTTGTCGATGATCACAGTTAAAAACGAAACAGAAAACAGGAAGATGAAACTTGTCAAAAGAATGCAGTTGGTCTCCAATGTGCTGTTTGTGATAGAAAACATCACCATGATCCTGTTGTTTTATTTCAGTCATTTCCCTCACACCTGGTACTCCTTACCAGTCACCATCTGTGTCTGTTTGTTTGCTGTTCTTGGAGCCGTAATGAGACTTACTCATTTCTGTTTTTTGTATGAGGATTCAGATGATGAGGATTCAGATGATCAATCAAATAATACCGATCAAGTGCAGCAGCAGTCGCATAGTAATCTCGTCGAGGTTGCAGCAACATTTAACGGAGGTAAATCTTTGTCTAATCTTGTATTGGTACGTCTCAAGTTTGTATGTGATCTGTGACATTATGCAGGCTGACTATAATGTTTAAAGAGACGCAACTAGGGAAAGTAGAAAAACATTTAAGCCATTATGTTATGTTGATTTACCGACTAATTTACCGTACATGTAGTAATTTGTGAGTAATTCAGTAATTAGTTGTGAATCAATTAGTTCAAAAGTTCCTGAACTAAACTAAACTGAACTATGCTAAAACGAGCCAAATGTTTCTTATTTACTCTGTCATGCTTGTAGTCTTCTTGTGGTTATCAAACAATACAATCGCTTATGCTTATTTTGTTCCCGGTTTTGTTGTACTGGGCTGGCAGTGAATTTTTAAAATATTGACTCAATTGAAGTGTGACAGTTCATGACAGATCAGTCTGACAAAATAGCAAAACTGTAGTTGTCGCTAAGACCTCGAGGGTTAATATTCTTGTAATATTCTCGAGCATTATCACTATCGCAATGGTGATTTTTGCAACATATCTACTTAGAGAATAAGCTTTCAAATATACCATACTAAAAAATACGCCCCGGGTCATAATTATATTGCGTTCTGCCTTGCGTGAGAAAGCGGTTCTACGGTTTTAAACAAAACTTATAGGTGTCTAAAATATGTAGTATCACCAAAGGTTTTATTAAAGTGACTTTGAGATCAATTTTCAATTAGGGCAATAAATTAGCATCACCTTAAAAACGCGAATAGTTGTTACGTATAAATTATAACACTCTAAACATTCCAGGCTAGCATACANTCACCTTAAAAACGCGAATAGTTGTTACGTATAAATTATAACACTCTAAACATTCCAGGCTAGCATACAGACTGCCATCTAAAACTTAACACAATCTGATGTCAACCATAACTTTCTTTTCCAAAGAGTAGAAGAGAGGCACTCGCCGCATTTCCTCCAATATTTTAAAATTCGGGCCTTATTCAAGGAGCCCGCTTAATCGAAGAAGAGGCCCGGGGGGGGAGGGGAGGGGGTACTTTAGGAATTTCGGGGTGGGATGTGCCGCTGGGACCCTGGAACCCTTAACCTATACCAGAGCTAGTTCACTAAATTTTGCTACCCTATACTAGAGTAAACTCCCCAAATCCCCCCTATCCTAGAGTAGCTGTTTCCCTAGTCTAGGTAAAATCTTCAACCAACTGATCAATCTCCTGAAAAATGATACCCTATTCTAGACCCAAACGCTCTGATTTGTATACCCTATCCTGGAGTAAACTGCTTGAAACCCATACCCTTCACAGCGGCACATACCTATATAGCCCATATATGGCAGTGCCCCCCCCCCCTCGGGAGAAGAGGGGGGTGGCCTATTAAAGTAATACCTAAAATAACTGAAATAATTGTGGCAAAAATTAAAATATTTGGTCATGATGGCTGGATATTGACCAAGGCCTACACTTAATTCCATCCGCCAAACTGACGTTGACACATTAATGATTCGTACACAAACTACGGTTAGGGTTAGGGTTAGGGTTGGGGTTAGGGTTAGGGTTATATATTTAAATCAAATTCTCGCAAAATTCAATTTGGCGGTGACTTTGCATTATTATTAAAGTTAACAATAGAAAGCCATTGCACTGAAGGTGAGTGTAGAAGTGCATTAATCGCCAAAATACGTGCTTTGCCAGCATTTTTCTTGTTTACGTGCTTTGCGACCATTCAATAATCTTGAGAAAGTACACCCCGGGATGGCGGGGTTGTAAGATTGCATGTAAAGGAGGGTTATTTTTTTTACCCCACCTAAGCAGGTTACCTCACCTTCCTGGGGTCCCCCACCTCCATGTAAACAGGCCCTTAGTAACTATAACCTTTCTCCCAATCGATCTATATATTCATATTTGTATTGTGTGCTTTAGTNTGCATTAATCGCCAAAATACGTGCTTTGCCAGCATTTTTCTTGTTTACGTGCTTTGCGACCATTCAATAATCTTGAGAAAGTACACCCCGGGATGGCGGGGTTGTAAGATTGCATGTAAAGGAGGGTTATTTTTTTTACCCCACCTAAGCAGGTTACCTCACCTTCCTGGGGTCCCCCACCTCCATGTAAACAGGCCCTTAGTAACTATAACCTTTCTCCCAATCGATCTATATATTCATATTTGTATTGTGTGCTTTAGTGAATATCTGTTATCGATCATTTAATTTATGTAAATTATGTTAAAAAATGAATTAATAATTCATAAAAAATAAAAAGAAATAGACTAATGTTTAATGAGTGTCTTTATATCTCATAAGAAAGGACTTGAAGATACAGCTAAACTTTATGTCCAATCTTTTAGGACCATAATAACACCAAATCTAAATATTAGTGCAAGAAGAAGTTAATCTAAATCAGAGATTTTCAAGCCATTCAAAAAACGTCCAGTCATGTATTCAGCAGGTTTGAAAACTCTCGGCTTCGCCTCGAGTTTTTAAACCTGATTATACACTCGGATCATTATACGTTTTTCCCGTTCGTCTTTTTTTAACATGTACTTATATAAAATTATAGTCACATTGTATTTATAGCATTTTGTCTTCAATACTGTGTTTGCTGTATCATTCCTCACGTAATTTTGAGGGCCATTGAACAAAAAAAAACTATTGACAATAGTTTGTTACGACTCCATCTTAAATAAATTTACTGTATTGTATTGTGAAGGCCTTGTTACATATATGGCCAAAATGTTTTCCTTTTTTTGCAGAAAAAGAAGGAATTCCCGAGCGTTGGGCAAGACAGACCCACCCTGCTCACCCAGGTTGGCAATCAGAACACGAGATTCATTTCATCATGTCCGGTCAGCCATGGGTGGTTAGAGTGCAGGACTTGCAATTTTGAGGCCCCCAGTTCAAGTCCCACCATGACCGCTAGCTGGATTTGTTCACGGTAGTCCCGAGTTCAAATCCTCGGTCACGCGTGTAAATAGCCAACTGGTTTACGTCCGGCCAGTTGGGATTCTTAACCCTGTTAAGTTCAAGTAGATTTATTTGTTTCAGGTAATTGCTGGGCCCCACTAACATTACTGCTATAAATACTGCCGAGGGAACATAACGAAATTATTATCATTATTATGCACACTAAAAAACCATACACGCGATAATAGAAATAACTGTCACAACTAACCAATCATAGGTTATACCAAGAGCTGCTAAACAGGAATGAGGTATTGAAAACAATGCTTACAGTCTCCACTACTCCGTCTTTCCCCAGGACCAAACCGGTTTTCGCGCAACTTTTCTCGATCCGCTTTCCTCACTAGCTTGGAATACCAGAACAGGCTAGAAAGAACTGACTGAACAAAGAAACCCTTACCTCGGTGTAGTCAGCGTTAAAAAAAAGCTCGAGAGTCAGGTAAAACAAACAACCAAAGGAAATGTCAGTATTATTAAGACCATTAAAAATTACTAAATTCCGTTATCACCGCAATAAACACCTCTTCAGCCACAGAGTCAATGTCATGAACTTTATTTTTACATAAGAAGACACATATCACAGTGATCCAAGACTATCTTCTGGAAACCTTGTTTATTTTTCGTTTGCCTGCAAACATGTGCTTAGGCATCTTTGTGGAAATCTTCCTGTCTGCTTCTCCTGGAAAACAAAACATATCAGATCAGCGCACAAATTCTCTTATCCTCTCTCATATGTCATACACGGTTCACCTCGAGAGAGGTTCTCTTTCAATCAATCAAAAAGATCACCTAGACTTACCTGCTTTACCCATACGATTGAGGCCTCTTTGAACAACCTTCGAAAGTTTTTTCGCTTTTTTCTTCTTCTGAAAGCAACAACAGTTGGAAACGAGTTCAGCGTCAGCGGAGCAAAGATTCCCTGGCTGGTTATTTTTGTTACGAGAGACCTTTAGATTCTAAGACGAGGCCGACGACGAGTACGAGAATTTCTCAATACTAAGCAGTGTGCGCGCGAGAAAAACATTTTGGCGGGAAAACGTGATAACCGTCGACAGTCGAGTTTTAGCCTGAATGTCGTAGAGGCGGATATTTAACAATTAATTAATGAGACTGAGTATATTATGAGGAATTATGGAGATCGAGCGGATAACACCCTCCGAGATCTCCACAATTCTTCATATAATACGAAAGCCGAATTGAATAACTGTTTTATTATTCATTCAAAATAACTCCTAGTTTAAAAACATAGCTAAACATGCTTACCTCCATCCTCGGAGACCCAGGGGCGGTCAGTCGGGCCGGGAGAAATAGCGCGACAAAAGTTTTCATGTACTTGAAAACTTTTGTCGCGCTATTTCTCCCGGCCCGACTGACCGCCCCTGGGTCTCCGAGGATGGGGCTTTTCCGCCTGTACTTGAAAACTTTTGTCGCGCTATTTCTCCCGGCCCGACTGACCGCCCCTGGGTCTCCGAGGATAGCTTACCTCCATCGATGTTAAGTTCATCTTCGATAGTTTAGCGTTGTTTAGCTCCGCAAATATTCTCCAGATAGCAGATGTCGCCCTTCGAGTTATCTGCTTGCTGTTCTTGCCATGTTTTTAGCTATTATTTCGCCTAGTTCTTACTCTTGAAACGAGTGAAATGTCCGCCATTTTTGTTTTCACAGCCAAAACAACTCAACCTCGTCCCCAGGTCTTCTCGGTTAACGGAGCATTAACCTAAGGAAGCTGCAGTTTTGACGTCATCGGTTCATTAATCGCAAAATTCTTCCAAATTTGGTCATCAGTAACTGGTGAGGGTGAATTATGCAGGTGCTTTTAGCCAATCAGAATTGGGGAAATATTTTGAATGAATAATAAAACTTATTAATTGTAAGAAGATTTATCATTTCTCGATCGGGAGAGGGCTTAACCTCTTTCAATAATGATAACAGTGCTAATGTTTCTGGTGAAAAAAGAGAGTAGAATGGAGTTTTCAGGGATGTCTATTTTTTTTTAAAGTAATACGCAAAAAAATCAAATCTCGTACTAGTAGTCGCTTTCGTCCTCGAATCTAACGGTCTCTAATACTTTTCTCACTGCACAAGATCGCTGCAGCTTTCGCCATTTAACCAATTACATGGATAATAATGACTTTGAGTAAATTCCTAAGTCCTTGGTGCACTTTTCTTTGATACTGTTTACCTGTTTATGATGTACAGGCTAATTTGAATTTTTGAGTCTGTGTAGGAAATCCTTATACGGTGGTTCTAAGATTAAACTTTGGAGTCTGTTAAGGAAAACTTTTCATTGAGTAATGAGCAATTAAACTGCATAAAATAGGCACGTTGGTGGTATTTTAAGTCTTTGAATAAAAGCCTCAAAGCTGCTCACACTTTTATGGAAATAAAGAAGTCTTTGCAGACTACACAAGCTGGGCTCGATCCTGGCTGACTCACGCTATAAAATGTGCGTGCATCCATTAGAAAGAAGGCTATTTCACAGTGCTTATGTATTCTACCGCTGTTGTTTTGTTTTTTACCTCTGGGGATCCGATTCCAGACTGGTCACGTGGTTGCCGCGATAAGCTCCGCGCTCCACTGCTAGCCGCTCTCTTTCTTTTCCGACTCATTGGGGTCTGGGAACGAGATCTTGTCACAGTCTCATCTCCCTGCAAATATTGATCGGTACACATCCAGTGTTATACATGAAATAAACAATGGTAATAGGTGCGCATGATAAAAATACTGCCTACCTCTTGAATGCCTTCCATTGCCTCACCCAAATCAGTATCACTCTTTTTTCGACTGCGAGCGGCTTGAGCCTATGTGCAAAAAATATTAAAAGATTAAAACAACGAAACCACACGTGGTCCCGATAAAAACTTTTCAATCCTTAGCTTTACATTGCTTTGCTCTGTGATTCCCTGAAAGTTCTCACCACTTGTTTAATCAATTACATTTAAATCAATAACTAGAAATACATGAATCCCAAGACCTCGCGGAGCACTTCGGGGCAACGGCAAGAAGTAGGATGAAAGGGAAATAAGGCAATAGGGAAGAAAATAGATAAATGTAAAAAAACTAACGCTATATAAAGAAACAAAACAAAACTACAATAACTAAAAATACTAAACGCAAAGGAAAAAAAAAGAAAAAAAAAAAAAAANAAGTTCTCACCACTTGTTTAATCAATTACATTTAAATCAATAACTAGAAATACATGAATCCCAAGACCTCGCGGAGCACTTCGGGGCAACGGCAAGAAGTAGGATGAAAGGGAAATAAGGCAATAGGGAAGAAAATAGATAAATGTAAAAAAACTAACGCTATATAAAGAAACAAAACAAAACTACAATAACTAAAAATACTAAACGCAAAGGAAAAAAAAAGAAAAAAAAAAAGAAGAAAAGACGAGAAAAGAAAAAAGAAAAGAGGCTTTTCGCCCGGAACTCAGCACCTCCTACGTGCCGGGAAATATTTTTACCACTATCCCACGTGGGGTCGTGAATGAGAGGATAATATTTTATTTAAAGCATTTCTCCTAGAATTTCCGCCAGCAAGACCTGTTTAAGCTGATCAAGCACTTATCTCTCAGTGGGTCTCGTGATGGGCCAGAGAGGTTGCGATTATTAACCTGCACTATAACTCCACTTGTAAGTACCCATTAGTTTCTCCTGCGAACTGCCAGTAAAAGAATCGCCTTCTCGGCGACGGCCTTATACTCATCCATTAAGTCATCCGTGGAGGAGCGTAACGCCTGGACCGCTAGACTTCGGACTGCTCGCTAGTAACAGACTGGTTCTGATGTGAATAAACACAGAATCATTCTAGAGCAGTACCATTATGCTATGATTTGACACTTATCTTTTTCTTTGTCCCAAAAAATTTACAGTACATACTACTCCTCACCGAGCAACAAAACAGAAACGATGTGAAGGGGCCCAAAAGTGTGACCTCACATTCGTTAATGGAGACATTAACCAATCAGAGGTGGAGGACAGTTTCCAGCTGGCTTCTGATTGGATTAAATCTGCACGAAAGAATGTGAGGTTATACTTTTGGGCTCCTTGTGGTAAAAGTTGTAACTTACCTTAAGGAACACGGAACGTGAAAGTTTTGCTTTGTTATTTCTTGGTTTCATCTCACGATGAGCTTTGACAATAAGCTTTTTCTTTTCGCGGATTCTGAATTAAAGAGAAAATGTGCTTAGAAAGCTTTAACCAAGACAAGTAAATTCAGAGAGTCGCTAATATATAATTAAACATATAACTCACTGTTCAGCTTTATTTCTTATATCCTCTTCTTCAGAGTCCAATTCCTCCTGTAAAACGAGACAAATACAATTAAAAAAACCTCAAAAACGATTATCAATAATTCGAGAAGTGACCAGTAACCGCGATAGAGGAAAGTCAGGAGACATGCGAGAGAGCATTTAACCCTGTGCATACAGAGCTGTTATTTTTGCTTCCTAAGCCCGGGGGGGGGGGGGGGGGGGGAACTCTAGAGACCAGCCTCTATAACTTCAAAACCGCACATGCTCAGGTCACCAAAATTACACAGAAAAAAAACACAAACGGAATCTTGGTAAGAACCTTACTTACAATTACTACAAGAACCTTAAAAACCTTGGTAAGATTTACTATCGGTACCTTGGTAAGAACCTTGGTAAGATTTACTATAGGTATCTTGGCAAGAATCGTGGTACGAATTACTATGGGTATCTTGGTAAGAATCTTGGTAACATTGACTACCGGAATCTTGGCAAAAATCTTGGCAAGAATTACTATAGGTATCTTGGCAAGAATCCTTGTAAGCAGTTCAATGGGCATCTTGGTAAAAATCTTGGTAACAATTACTACAAGTATGTTGGGAAAAATCTTGGTAAGATTTACTAAAAATATCTTGGCAAGAATCTTGGCAAGAATTACCACAGGAATCTTAGCAAGAAAGTTAGTAAGATTTAGTATAGGTATCTTGGCAAGAATCTTGGCAAGAATTACCACGGGAATCTTGGCAAGAGTCTTGGTAAGATTTACTATGGGTATCTTGGCAAGAATCCTGGTAAGAAGTACAATGGGTATCTTGGTAAGAATCTTGGTAAGATTTACTATCGGTACGTTGGGAAGAACCTTTGTAAGATTTACTATAGGTATCTTGGCAAGAATCGTGGTAAGAATTACTATGGGTATCTTGGGAAGAATTAGCACGGGAATCTTGGCAAGAATCTTGGTAAGATTTACTAAAAATATCTTGGCAAGAATATTTGTAACGATTACTATGGGTTCCTTGACAAGAATCTTGGTAAGAACTACTACAAGAATCTTGGCAAAAATCTTGGCAAGAATTACTATAGGTGTCTTGCCAAGAATCCTGGTAAGAAGTACAATGGGTATCTTGGCAAGAATTACAACGGGAATCTTCGCAAAAATCTTGGTAATAATTTCTACAAGTATCTTGGCAGAAATCTTGGGAAGATTTACTATAAATATCTCGGCAAGCATCTTGAGAAGAATTACTATGGGTATCTTGGTAACAATCTTGGTAAGATTTACCATTATTTATCTTGTCAAGAATCTTGGTAAGATTTACTATAGGTATCTTGGCAAGAATGGTGGTAAGAATTACTATGGGTATCTTGGTAAAAATCTTGGTAATAATTACTACAAGTATGTTGGGAAAAATCTTGGTAAGATTTACTAAAAATATCTTGGCAAGAATCTTGGCAAGAACTACCGCAGAAATCTTAGCAAGAAAGTTAGTAAGATTTAGTATAGGTATCTTGGCAAGAATCTTGGCAAGAATAACCACGGGAATCTTGGCAAGAATCTTGGTAAGAATTACTATAGGTATCTTGGAAAGAATCTTGGCAAGAATTACTATGGGTATTTTAGTAAGAATCTTGGTACGATTTACTATCGGTACCGTGGTAAGAATCTTGATAAGATTTACCATAGTTATCTTGGAAGGAATCTTGGTAAGATTTACTATAGGTATCTTGCCAAGAATCTTGGCAAGAATTACTATGGGTATCTTGGCAAGAATCCTGGTAAGAAGTACAATGGGTATCTTGGCAAGAATCTTGGCAAGAATTGCTACGGAAATCTTGGCAAAAATCTTGCTAAGAATTACTATGGATATCTTGGCAAGAATCTTGGCAAGAATTACCACAGGAATCTTGGCAAGAATCTTGGTAAGAATTACTATGAGTGTCTTAGTAAGAATCTTGGTAACATTTACTATCACTACCTTAGTAAGAATCTTGGAAAGATTTACCATGTGTATCTTAGCAAGAATCTTGGTAAGATTTACTACAGGTATCTTGGCAAGAATCTTGGTAAGATTTACTATAGTTATATTGGCAAGAATCTTGGTAAGATTTACCATAGTTATCTTGGGAAGAATCTTGGTAAGATTTACTATAGGTATCTTAGCAAGAATCTTGGTAAGAATTACTATGGGTATCTTGGCAAGGATTAGCACGGGAATCTTGGCAAGAATGTTGGTAAGATTTACTATAGGCATCTTGGCAAGAATCTTGGTAACAATTACTATGGGTATCTTGGTAAGAATCTTGGCAAGATTTACTATCGGTACCTTGGTAAGAATCTTGGTAAGATTTACCATAGTTATCTTGGGAAGAATCTTGGTAAGATTTACTATAGGTATCTTGGCAAGAATATTGGTAAGGATTACTATGGATACCTTGACAAGAATCTTGGCAAAAATCTTGGCAAGAATTACTATGGGTATCTTGGTAAGAATCTTGGTAAGATTTACTATCGGTACCTTGGTAAGAATCTTGGTAAGATTTACCATGGTTATCTTGGGAAGAATCTTGGTAAGATTTACTATAGGTATCTTAGCAAGAATCTTGGTAAGAATTACTATGGGTATCTTGGCAAGAATCCTTGCAAGAATTACAACGGAAATCTTGGCAAAAATCTTGGTAAGAATTACTATGGGTATCTTGGCAAGAATCTTGGCAAGAACTACCAAGAGAATCTTGGCACGAATCTTGGTAAGAATTACTATGGGTATCTTAGTAAGAATCTTGGTAACATTTACTCTCGGTACCTTAGTAAGAATCTTGGTAACATTTACCATGAGTATCTTAGCAAGAATCTTGGTAACATTTACTCTCGTTATCTTAGCAAGAATCTTGGTAAGATTAACTATAGGTATCTTGGCAACAATATTGGTAAGAATTACTATGGGTATCTTGGTAAGAATCTTGGTAAGATTTACTACAGGAATCTTAGCAAGAATCTTGGTAAGAGTTACTCTGGGTATCTTGGCAAGAATTAGCACGGAAATCTTGGCAAGAATCTTGGTAAGGTTTACTATTCGGTACCTTGGTAAGAATCTTGGTAAGATTTACCATAGTTATCTTGCCAAGAATCCTTGTGAGATTTACTATAGGTATCTTAGCAAGAATCTTGGTAAGAATTACTATGGGTATCTTGGGAAGAATTAGCACGGGAATCTTGGCAAGAATCTTGGTAAGATTTACTGTAGGTATCTTGGCAAGAATATTGGTAAGGATTACTATGGGTTCCTTGACAAGAATCTTGGTAAGAACTACTACAAGAATCTTGGCAAAAATCTTGGCAAGAATTACTATAGGTGTCTTGCCAAGAATCCTGGTAAGAAGTACAATGGGTATCTTGGCAAGAATTACAACGGGAATCTTGGCAAAAATCTTGGTAATAATTTCTACAAGTATCTTGGCAAAAATCTTGGGAAGATTTACTATAAATATCCTGGTAAGCATCTTGGTAAGAATTATTATGGGTATCTTGGTAAGAATCTTGGTAAGATTTACCATTATTTATCTTGGCAAGAATCTTGGTAAGATTTACTATAGGTATCTTGGCAAGAATCGTGGTAAGAATTACTATGGGTATCTTGGTAAGAATCTTGGTAACATTGACTACCGGAATCTTGGCAAAAATCTTGGCAAGAATTACTATAAGTATCTTGGAGGGAATCGTTGTAAGCAGTACAATGGGTATCTTGGCAAAAATCTTGGTAATAATTACTACAACTATGTTGGGAAAAATCTTGGTAAGATTTACTAAAAATATCTTGGCAAGAATCTTGGTAAGAATTACTATGGGTATCTTGGCAAGAATCCTGGTAAGCAGTACTATGGGTAACTTAGCAAAAGTCTTGGTAATAATTACAACAAGTATCTTGGGAAAAATCTTGGTAAGATTTACTGAAAATATCTTGGCAAGAATCTTGGTAAGAATTACTATGGGTATCTTGGTAAGAATCTTGGTAAGATTTACTATCGGTACCTTGGTAAGAATCTTGGTAAGATTTACCATAGTTATCTTGGGAAGACTCTTGGTAAGTTTTACTATAGGTATCTTGCCAAGAATTACTATGGGTATCTTGGCAAGAATCCTTGTAAGAATTACAACGGAAATCTTGGCAAAAATCTTGGTAAGAATTACTATGGGATCTTGGCAAGAATCTTGGCAAGAACTACCAAGGGAATCTTGGCAAGAATCTTGGTAAGAATTACTATGGGTATCTTAGTAAGAATCTTGGTAACATGTACTATCGGTACCTTAGTAAGAACCTTGGTAAGATTTACCATGGGTATCTTAGCAAGAATCTTGGTAAGAGTTACTATGGGTTCTTGGTAAGAATCTTGGTAAGATTTACTATCCGTACCTTGGTAAGAATCTTGGTAAGATTTACTATAGGTATCTTGGCAAGAATCTTGGTAAGAATTACTAAGGGTTCTTGGTAAGAATCTTGGTAAGATTTACAATCGGTACCTTGGTAAGAATCTTGGTAAGATTTACCATAGTTATCTTGGCAATAGCCTCTCCGCAGACGTCCTTTGGGGTTCGTTTGTCACGCATTCATTTCTCTCCCACGGACGTCTGCTAAACACAGCCGACATTTACGTTCTGGATTGTTTGAATAAGCCAATAAGGGGTTAGTTATTGTGTCACGATCAGCCAATCACCCGCTGTGATATAAGTGAAATGGCACCTATGAATTATTTCTCGCTTTTTTAGATCCATGCCTATGCATGGATGAGACTCCGAAGAAAGTTATAAGAAGCGATTTTTTTTCTTTGCAGCTGTAATTTAGGAAAGGACCAAGTTTGTGTGGTAAGATAAAGCGCAGTCGACATCGCAAGGCTCATCAAATGTGCTCTGGACGTTGATGTGTCTTTGTATTCTCAAGTAAATTATTCATTTGCATCGCTATCTTCTACCTGAGACGACTCAAACGTTTTGAAAAAATCAAAGAAACGATGCAATAAAGCTGCAGTCAGCTGTATAGTTTTTTTCGGAAGTTGCGACTATAAAATAATCTGCTTTTCTTTGAAAGACTACAGACAACAGTCTCCTACACGAGCGCGGCGCGGTTTTCAGCGCGGTCGAAAACAATAATTTCTATTAACTCTGTATATATTCGAAGTATTAAGAAAAGAGAACTTGTAAACGTGTATAGGGAAGATTTTCAAAGCATTCTTCGAAAACAAAGACTGTTTCCTTTTTTGCGAAATGTAATTCCACCAAGGTCATGGGTCGCAGAACAAGGACCAGTATGCGAAATTTAGTTACATTTTTTCAAGAGTCGGTAAAAAAAAAAATTCGTAGTCTACAGCAATGTGCTTCCAACGGCAGAAAAAGGTTTATCTGAAAACCTGTTCTGCAAAAAGGCACGTCTTTCCTGTTGCGTTTTATTTATTCACAAGCTAAGTAAACATGACCACGGTGCCGCCGAAGTCCAAACTTTAAGGTGATTCCCTAGTAAAAGAACCTAACATAGATTGTAGATGAAACTTGGTACACTGATGTAACAAGTCAAGAAGATGATAAAAAGGTAATAAAAAGTGGGGGTCACCGTGCTCGTTTTGACGTCACAATGCTGACAAATACGGCTATTTTGGACCCTTTGACAAAAACCGCCCGCAGCCCAAAATTAGACAAAAAGGAAAGATTTTTTCAATGATGCATGTAGTATCGCACAGAATTTGACTTTGATGTATTGTTTATCTACTTACGTACCAGAAAAATGCCTTTTAATGCCCTTGTTTTTAGTTTACGCTCCAAAGTAGAATTAAATTGGACACGCGCTATTCGACACATGATAGCTCAATCCGTACAATTTAGTAAAATTGCCGAAAAAATGAACATAGATTTGTGCCAATTTTTTTCTCACTGAAAGGAAGCACTGTCCTTATTAAAATAATGAAATAAAAAATGGGGGTCACCGTACTCGTTTTTGCGGTAGAGCTGCAGAAAGTGCGCACCAAATGCATTTTCCTTGATTTTTGAGAGAGGACTGGGGCGAGTTTCAAAATAGAATGTATGCGAAACGGGGAAGAAAGTATTAAAAAATCCGTTTCTACAGAATTTACATCGAGATATCACATTTAGGACACAATGTGATAAAGAAATCGTTTAAATGAAAATCAAAGTAAATAAGCACAAATTAAACATCCACTATCGAGGTTCTCTGTGAGGAAGTCGAACTCAGCAACACGCGTACTGCTTACGTTCTGCACATTCTCACCACATTGAGTCTCACCTCGGCAAGAAACAACAGGAAGCAAAAATTCCAATAGCGTTTCTCTTCAGTCAGCTTCATTTTAATAATGTTTCTTCACATGCTCTTTTTTACGGAGGCCATCTTGTTATGCGCAATAACAGATGCGCAGTGCAAAACCAGGGAATCACCTTAAACTAGAACGACAAATTAACCTACCTGTCAACAAACTTTAATCTTGCTCCTTCAAAGAAAGAAAGAATGCTTATAATCAATAAATCATTGAACCTTTCATTGTTCATTGTATTTTATTTCTCGACGAAATATTTAATCATGCTCGGGAAAGTCGCCGACCAAGGACCACATACTAACTGTACAAGTCACTCGCTATAAACATTTCCTCCACAGATCGATCTTCAACCAAGCTTCTGGGCTTCTGTAAACAACAGAGAAAGTCCTCTCTCGACAACTCTCATATTCTCTTTGCTAATATCACTGAGCGTTACAGCAGGAATACCAATATTTTCCAGCTTTGTAGATTGATCTTTCAAGATTTACCAGGGGAGAAACAACAACAATAATGTCCAGTAGCTCCACGCACTGTGTCCCAAACAAGCAGCAAAGCTTGATAGATAAGGGATTTGCCAAATGCCCTCGGCAAATTTGTGAACTCATCGGTCTTCGCTATAAAATTTGCAGGATAGCTTCTCTCTGATACTTGTTTAACCCTGTATTAATTACAAATTTCTCACACACTCGATCAAAAGCCTCACTGATCGTGCGAATCTTAAGAAGTGGCTCGGGTTACGTTTTACAAAAATCCGTAAACGGCCTGTGATTGGTGAACCTAAATGTCGGCTGTGTTTAGCAGACGTCCGTGGGGGAGAAATGAATGCGTGACAAACGAACCCCAAAGGATGTCTGCGGGGAGGTTATCTTGGCAAGAGTCTTAGTAAGATTTACTATAAGTATGTTGGCAAGAATATTGGTAAGGATTACTATGGGTACCTTGACAAGAATCTTTGAAAGAATAACTACGGGAATCTTGCCAAAATGTTGGCAAGAATTACTATAGGTATCTTGGCAAGAATCCTGGTAAGAAGTACAATGGGTACATTGGCAAGAATTATAATGGGAATCTTGGCAAAAATCTTGGTAATTATTTCTACAAGTATCTTGGCAAAATTCTTGGGAAGATTTACTATAAATATCTTGGCAAGAATCTCGGTAAGAATTACTATGGGTATATTGGCAAGAATCTTGGCAAGAATTACCATAACCTGAGATCAGGCGTTATTATTTTTTTTTTTTTGCTTCTTTGGCTCGAGAGGGGAAAAAAATAACGCCTGATACATTTATTTAGCAAGCCATCAACCGCCCCCTAATCTACATAATCTAACGTCTGCATGACCTGTCATGTTATTAGCCAATAAGCGTTTACCATACGGGAATCAAATTTTGGCGCGAATAATGTCTCTTTTGAAATGAATTTTAGGGAAAAGAAAATTTTTAAGTACGTCCATGTTCAGACGGCGCTTCCTAAAAAAAAATTTTAATGTGTTGTTTTTGTGATGAAATTCTGCTAGCTGCAGCTGCCGTACCTTTATTTAACAGCTACAAAAAATAAAGAATTTACTTGTTAAAGCTCGTTGACTTCGTTCTGTGCCGAAAGCAGTGAAAAAAAAATTAGGCTGAAGCACCATTTTTTTACGAACTGAAAGGTGTTGTGAAAGCGAAGATCGCTAAGAATAATTCGCAGCATGATTTCTGAAGGAGGAATTACAGTCAAACCAGGTCAAGATTCCATTCATGAATTGATTATTTGAAAAGTGAACCCGTTTGTCGCTTCTGTAACTTGTAGCCAGTATCAAATTGCATTGAAATGATCGGTGAAGTTTTGACTGCAACTGTTTAAGTATACGATGAGATGGAAAATATTTCCATGGATGAAATTTCTATTTAGGCATTCTTTAAATTCAAGAAAACTGAGCCGGCAGAAATTTCATAACGAACTCGCGTGTGTATTCACTGCTCATTACGCAAGCAAAAAAAGACTGAAATCAACATCAACTAACGGATGGCGGCATTTTGGCCAATCGGAACAGCGCAAATCATCCGTATTGTTTCCTATCCAATCAGAAAAAAGTCCAGATTCTGGCTTTTTTACATGTGATCCGACAAAGAAATGTATCATGCCCTCTTCCCGTAAGAGACATAAAGGGATAATAGGGAGAGGGCATGATCTCAGGCTAGAATTACCACGGAAATCTAGGCAAGAATCTTGGTAAGAACTACAAATGGGTATCTTGGCAAGAATCTTGGCAAGAATTACTGTGGGAATCTTAGGAAGAATCTTAGTAAGATTTACTATAGGTATCTTGGAGGGACTTGGTAAGAATTACCACGGGAATCTTGGAAAGAATCTTGGTAAGAATTAATATGGGTATCTTGGCAAGAATCTTGGCGAGAATCTTGGTAAGATTACTATGGGTATCTTGGCAAGAATTACCACGGGAATCTTGGTAAGAATTACTAGGGGAATCTTGGCAAGATTCCTGGCAAGAATTACCATGGTAATCTTGGCAAGAATTACTATGGGCATCTTGGCAAGAATCTTGAGAAGAATTATGACGCGTATCTTGGCAAGAATTACTATGGTTATCTTGGCAAGAATCTCGGTAAGAATTACTAAGGGTACCTTGAGCAGAATCTTGGGAAGATTTATAGGGGAATCTTGGCAAGAATCTTGGTACGAATTACCACGGGAATCTTGGCAGAAATACTATGGGAATCTTGGTAAGAATCTTGGGAAGATTTACTGCAGGTATCTTGGCAAGAATCTTGGTAAGAATTACTATGGGTATCTTGGCTAGAATCTTGGCAAGAATTACCACGGGGAATCTTGGCAAGAATTACTATGGGTATCTTGGCAAGAATCATGGTAAGAATTGCTTTGGATATCTTGGCAAGAATCTTGGTAAGATTTACTATGGGTATGTTGGCAAGAATCTTGGGAATTTTACTATAGGTATCTTGGCAAGAATCTTGGAAAGGGTTATCGCGTGAATCTTGTCAAGATTTACTACAGGCTAACATTAACACTTACTTCTCACTTGGGGCAAAATGTTGGCTTAAAGGAGGAGTAGGTGGGCAAAATGATGATAATGATCCAAAAATTACTACGACACTCTCTTACTGGTTCTGAGTCATAAAGCCCTGCAGCCTCGCGCAGTTCCTCTTCTTTCTCCAACTCTTCTAATTTCTGTAACGAAAGAAATTCAAATATTCATTTTTGTGATAAGAAAAAGGTCCCAGATCCACCTAGCGGTAAGGTGCGTGGAGAATCGGACACTAAACTAGCAAATTTTGGTCAGCCAATGTCCGATAACCGACTGTTATTTGCAGCCCCGTAAGCATAAAGGCATTGATATGAAAACGAGTTTTGTTATCATACAAATAAAACTCGTTTTCACAAGAAAGGTTTTGCATTTAGCCTCATTTTGAAAGTGAGACGTTTTGGAACTTGGAAATGGGCTTCATTTGTATTGCCAAGTTTATAGATTGATTGATCGATTGGCTGATTTTTTATAAACACATCTAATCAATTATTAAATAATAAATTCAGTTATTGTAGTGACATATACAAATCTCAGATTAGGCAGATTAAAAAAGGATGCAAAGTCCCCTTTTTGGATTAGGGCTCCTCTCTTGGTTTGACCTGTTATTTTTCACATAAAGAAATTGAAACTTAAACACTACAACTCCAAGTTGAAACCTCACCTTCATAATATCTGGATCAATGAAGTCAGCCACATTCTTTCAAAGGTAAATCTCTGGTAAAATATCATGTTTCTTGTCACCTTTTCCCAGATCCCAATGCTCCCACATATCCATGTAGTAATCTTCTCCCATCTCAATCTCCAGATCTCTGTCCAGTTTGCACTTGGGCTGGGCTCCTTCAACAATCATAGCCTGCCTTTTATCAAGTACAGCCTGTATATGAAGTAGCAAAAACAAAGTTTGAATCAATATTATAAGACAATCCAAACTCTCTTTGTGGACATAATTTCTTGCAATGTGACACAGTGTAGATCTAATGAGTAGATGTATTACAATCACCTTGACAGAATGGTTACTAACAATAATATTTAAAACAAACGAAGAACGATCCTCGCAGTTGTGAATGCAATTTATGCAATTGCATAAGAAGCCTGAAAAAGATTCAGGACTTCCATGAAATTTAAACCCATGACCTCGCAATACCAGTGCGACACTCTAACCAACTAAGCTACAATGCATGAAAATCATAAATCACAACTGCAACGATCATTTTTCATTTTTTTTAATGTCATTTCCACAGTTCTCATATATGATTTATTTCATGCACATTTGGCAGTAATAATTAAGGCATCAAAAGGCACCATAAAGCAGGGTACAAAAAAAGTCAGTTTTACAGCTTACCATTTGGGAAAAGTATAGCTACAGGTGCAGCATAATAACTTAAGCACAGTTCTTCTGTAATTTGAATTCCCCAAAAAACTTCACTTGCCCGTTAGGCAAGTTAAACTAACGTTTGTGTTTTTCGCTGCTGTCAATCATCTTAGCAGACCTCTCAGGAAACAGAACTCTACTTAAATGGGTTCAAAAGGTCATGGTTTGTTACCTGTGATTGGCGGATTTCGATCCGTTTTGTGTGCTTCTGTGTTTCAAGGTGTATTGCTTGTGATGTTAATAGTGTAATTATGATTGAGGGCAGCAAAAAATGCAATTGTGAAGGCGGCTTTTGAACTTGAAAGTTCGCGTACTTGTGAAAAGCACAGTAACGGAGTCTATACTAAGCAGCACAAGCTTCCATGAGAGTTCATCTATCTCATTTACAACCACTGTTAACCTACCAAGACAATTTTCTCACGTGATCAATGTCCTAACTCTCACTATATACACATTCATTCCCTGGAGGGAAAGTCGACACTGATCACTGTGGGCTTTAAGGATTGACTACAGTTCCTTTATGAGATGTTCGGGATAGTGCAGCATTACCTGAGGAATGCAGGGTGGTCTCTCTTTCTGATCTCTCTGCGTTGGCATGGCAACATGAAGTCTGTTCATGACATCTGATGTTTTTTTGCTCTTCATCTTTATTTTAACTCTCTGAGCTAGGAGCTGATCACAAGCCTCATTTCTGACAGTCATCACACCTTCTTCAGTAACTGTACTCATTGGAAGAAGGGTAACACCTACAGAAACAGCCAGGAGTTTATCTCGATGTTCTTTCTTTGTTCATACACAAAAAAAATGTCAATAATGTACAAACATACACTGCCTTAATATAGCAAGTTCTAATTATGGTGGAGAGACTTACTATGTTTACAAAAGTGAAGAAAACTTAACTTCTAAGTTAACGGTTTAGGATAATGATGAGGATGATGTAGCCTGTGGACAAGCTCTCCTCTTTGGGCAAGCCAAGCGAGCCACACGAGAATGTGAACAGAGTGATCGACAAAGCCACGAGAGGCCAAGGAAAGGAGGGCTTGCAACAATCTCTCATAAATTTTCATTTGTACATGTACTTTGCCCAGATGAAGGGAAAAATGACATTCCGGAAATCAAAGTTGGTTGATCACGGGAAATGTATTATCACCAAAATCTGTGTTATGTCAGTGATTGTTGAACTCACTTTGAAAAAGAAGACTGGTAGAGGCAGAAAATCTCTTTCTCCTTCTGTGAAAGACAACTTTCGTCTGTGTGTAATTCTCAGAAAGCTGTATGCGTGAAAGTGTTGCCAATAAAATGTTGCGAGCCGAGGATTATCAGAAAATGAGAACCCTTCATCAGTTGTATTTGTTTGTATGTTTGTATGCCTTCCAACGTTGCTTTTTTTGCCTGATTGTTTTCCACTGAGTAAAAATTCAGAAACTGGTACATGACAGTGTAGCTGACAAAGAATTAGCAGCTGACCGTCAAGAAGGTCAATAGAAAGAGTAGGAAGCAACTGAGGAGTAAAATATAAGAGAACCAAGTCCAAGAAAATGCTCTTCTCCAGTTCCGAAACAGACAAAAATACCATATACTATGTTTCAAAAACTTTCCTCGGCTGTCTTAATGTGACTTTCTAATTTGCAGCACGTTTGCGGTGACAGTTTTAATGCTTTGGGATGTCCGGGGTGGAAATGAAAATTAATGAGTGATCATTGCAAGATCCCTTTTCTCTCTCCCAACTGCTACTTTTACGTCTCCTCTCCAGTGTGCAAAGAAAGTACTGTCCGATAGCCTGGGGCTAGTGGATTTTGCTATCGGGCTAGTGAATTCTGTTTTTAAATTGCCCGACGGGCAAGTGACGTTTTTTGAGGAATTCGAAAACAGAAGAACTGTTAATCAATTCTGCTAGTCAAAACGTTTTTTGGGGCTAGTTGAAATGACATCTGGGCTAGTAAATGCTAGCTTCAGCTTGCCCGAATGACAAGCTGTAAAAGTGATTTTCTTTGCACCCTGCTCTTACGTGTCTACTTTTCCGGATGTCCTACAAATGGAGAGCTTGCTCACAGGCTAAGGATAATGATGATGACGGTCGTGGTAGTCATGATGATGGCGATGATGATGATGATGACCATCATGATGATGATCAATGATGGTCATGATCATAATCATCAAGAAAATGATGATGATGATGATGATGATGATGATAATGAGATGAAGGGTTTCCTGGGTCAACTGTGGTAAAGTAGGTGGACTGTAATACAGCATGGTACTGTAAGGTTATGAAGATCAAGCAGAATATTACCTTCTTGATCAAAAACTTTCATCAGTTCTTTCTTCTCCTCAGAAAGCTCATCAGGTCTAAGAACATCAATTTTGTTTAAGATCACCAGCAAGGGTTTGTTTGCAAACAGAGGTTTAATGCCATTAAACAGCTCTATCTGTTCCACAAGAGTGTGACCACACTGCTCTGAAATGTCCATCACATAGAGAATTGCCGCTCGCAAGTGAGCAAGGGCAGTAATTGCCTAAAAAATTCAAGTAAATGTTTAGATCATTCTTTTTAACTAACATCACGGTGACTTGTAATAAAAAGTTTATACCTCATTGACAAACTTTCTAACCTGCATTTCTATCGTGTTTCTTTCTTCTAATGAATGGTCGAGGATTCCTGGAGTGTCAACAACCTATGAATAATAAAAATACAACACATGCATACATGTACAGACTGGTAATATTGTATGATCAGCATACAAAATCAACTTACACACATGAAATCACAATGACTGTTAGTCAAAAGTTTAATTTCCCAATAAAGTACAGTGTAGTAGCAAATGTAATTTTGACCATTGATAGACATGGAACAAAATTAAAACATCGCAGAAATTTTAAAATAAATGTTGTGGCACAGTTTAGAGACATGTGGGTAGTTGTGATCAATTTTTTTGGTTTTGATTCCTTTTTGAAATACTTTACATGGTTACTAACAGTTCTTCAATTCTATATAATATTGGAATAACTGCAGATTATAATATATTGTAGTATTAATTGCACTTATTTTTGCATCCTTTTTAAGTTTTTAAAATTACCAGTAGCTTCTATTTTGAAGTACTGTAGTTTTAAAAATATCAAGGTCTTCAATGTTACTTGTTTTTGAACCCTTTCCCCAGGGTTTCATGCTGCTACATTTTAAATAGGGGAACATGTTTGCACATATTTTTAGCCACTTTTCAAGGACCCTTTTTAGTGGTTTTTGAGAATTCAGTCAAGCACATTTTATAACATAATTAACATAGTACTATTTTATCATTATCACTGATGTAACTAGGATACATCAGATGACTGACTAACTTATCCTACATACACTTTTCACTTTGAACATCTCATGTAAGTGAAGCCAGAATTGTTAAAATTTATTAAGACAAAACAAATGTTGAACAGCAGCAATAAATAATGTTGTAAATTAATTTACCTTCATTGTAAATCAATTTTTGAACACATAGATACCCAAAGGGTATCCAAAGGGTGTTTGTGATAGGTTTCAATATGCAAATGTGTCACTTGCTCACTTTGTGTTGACAGAGATTAATTGGCTCTACTGTTCTGACCCGAACTCACTGCCTGATATGAAAACAACATAGTTTGTTGTTGCTGAAGGGTGCCTGAGTTGTACATTCATGCATATTTGTGAGAGAACCCCGGGGACGGGGTTGTCATTTTCACGTTTGCTACAAAAGCATGAACAGTCTCGCTGTCGATATAGGTTGTCTACTATGCACTACAAGTATCTTAATCATAAGCCATGAGGCAGTTTACATTTCCAGTAACAACAAAGGAAGAACGTTGCCAATAAATTGTGCATTTAAGTTGAGCAAGGTTCAACTTTTACATTAATGCATGACCATCCATACCTTGCCTCTTTTTTACATTTTAGGTATGTACATCACTGTATACGTACATACTGTACTTGTACGCTTGTGAAAATTAAGCGACAGTAGAAATCCAGCCTAAGAGACTATATTTTTAGGTCCTTTAAAGACCCTAAGGGCTTAATTATTTTACGTGACCTGCGCCTTTCAACGCTTATTTACTCAAGCTAGTGTCTCATAAAACTGGAATAGTTCTTAGAAATCTTTTTGCTCAAAATGAATCGCATAATGCCCTCATAGCCGGTTATCATGATCAATGATATTGATTTTGAAAATTGATAGAGGTGTGGAAATGTACAACCTGTACCTTCTATCAGTAGTTATTATAGAATGTAGCAGTTCAGTTCTCTTCTATGAGTAGTAGCCGGCGTAGCAGGTATTTGTTTGAACATATTTTTCATTTGTGGTGGAGATAGAGTGGCATGGAAGCTCTGAGGTCAAAGATATTTTTCAAGGGAGGGGGCAAGAGGATTTTCTAAACAATTAGCCACAGGTTCTCCATAAATTTTACTTTGATTTTACTTTTGACTGGACCAGCTTCACACAGTACAAAAACACATGAACATCATTTTTGCACCCGCGTTGCTGACCGTACCAGCCTCACATTGCGCATATCAACATGAATATCATTTTGTTCTGTACCAATGTCACTTTTCACTTCACATTGCTCAGTACAAAGAAAATATCACTTTGTACTTTGTGTTTTTTACATCTGCGTGCTGCGTCCCTGACACATAAAAATCCCCAAAGACGCAAAATAATTTATGATATGCATCCCGTAGGACACAAACATTGATTGATTGATCTGAAGGTGTTTTTGTAGAATATCCTGTTTGTGTGATTTCTGTGGCTGTTGTTAAATGACACATTTCTTTTAGTCTTTGTTGTGCTTTACAATAGAAGGAGTATATTTTTACACAGTATATTTCAGTAAACTGAATTACAGAGTTTTGGAGTCTGTCTTCGGATTAACTATGTGGTTACAAAAGACCCAGGGACTCATTGTACGTTTTTTGAACTGGGACTCATGACTTTTCACAAATTGAGTCCCAGGACTCACCATAACATATTTGTAACAAAATTACTGATTATCTATGAAAGTATGAGGTATTTACCTTGAAACTCAGATCAGTGAGTTAAACGTTGAATTAACTGTCTTAAAAATTGTGACCTGCTTTTCTCCCTCATGACCCCATTTTAGCTTCTCTATGGGTCCTGTGGACCCCAGGGTGGTAACAATCTTGGTAAGAACACTGAGAAAACTATTCAGAACCAATACTAAGTACTATGTAATACCAGTAATAAAACTGTACAGAACCAATACCATTTGTAACAATTTTACTACCCTTGCAACTTCATTTAGCACGGAACCAATACTAATTTTTCTGAAGTCATTAATGAGCATCTGTCCAATTCAATGAAGGAAAGTTTTTCCTTGGTATTGGCTGCATTGACAAGAAACCATACAAATTGATACTGTTATGGTATCAAAATTGCTGCTTTTACATTTGTCAAAATCAAACTGCTTCAACATACAAGCTGATGTTGGTACGATACAAAAAAAAATACTGGTATTGTACAAAACTGACAAGTTAGGGTAGTACACTTTTATATCAATTGGTACTTCAGTACAAATATGATGTTGTTACATTATTTTGTTAAACCAACTCTTCTGTTAAACTGACTTTTTTACCAAACAGGGTTATACACATGTAGCTGTCTATTGATGTTGGTACAGTACAAAGTTGATTTTGTTAGTGTACCAAAATTATACAGTCACAGTGCAAAACATGTCATTTTCTTTTGGTGTATTATGCTACATAAATTGTCAGAGGATGAATAAAAGGACACAACATAAATTAAAACTAATGTAAAAAACTGGGCTGCAGTAAAATTATGTACAGTCACCATTACACATATGTACAGGTACAGGTAAAAGTCTGGTCTGACCTGCCATCTGAGATATTTGTAATCCATGTGGCCGACAAATGGGGACTTGGTTCTGAGGACGTATGGTTGGACTTTAACATCTGCTCTTGTCACCTTTAGGGAACATAAAAAATATGTTTGTTGCAATGCTATGGTTATAAACCTTACAGTAATAACTCTGTTAACTGCCTGAGGATCACCAAATGATTGCAATTGGAATTCACAATGCCTGTCTCTCACTTGTAGCACATTAGGGAGTTTAAGCAACAACAAAGGTGACAGCTAAGAAAACATCACTTAAAAAGTGAATTCGCATTGCCTCAAACTTTATCACACTTATTTTATCTTGTTTAATTCGTCCAATGTGGGCAAATGCTTTTGGATTTGAATTCTGAAGGGCTGTATCAAAGTTCTGGAAAAGAAAAAGAAAGTTGTTGTGTTGGGTTCCTGTCCATGACAAAATGTGAAATTAGGCACTTTCACATTGTAGCCCTGCAACGACAGCTAAGAAAATAATGTACAAAAAAGCATGATTCAAGTGCAAAGTTGTTATTTTGCTAATCTAACGAATTGCCTTTTTGTCTTTCTAATTGCCGTTACAATTGTCATTGCCTTAACTTCCTATTTTAAGTACGAGGGTAACATTCGTTTCAAGTGGCCCAGTGCATGAGGTGTTCATTTTAGCCCTCCAACAATCTAAGTCAGGATTACAAAGGTGCATGTAATAAACCTTACAGAGTTTCCAGTGTGACAGTAGTAGTGGTAGTGGTAGTGGTAGTGGTAGCGGTACGTACTTAAGTAGTAGTGACTTGTGCCGTCATCGGTTAAAACATGGACTGAAGTGGCTGCAAGAGTGCGCCTTTACATGCTGACGTCCGATCTCATCTCTCGGTTCCCTCCAGAATTTAGCCATCGGCTGCAAGTGAGGAAAGTTGGCACCGCATATTTATAAACATTTATAAGAATTCAAATGTTTTGGAAAGATAAGACAAGAATTCCAGTGCTTTGAAAGATAAGATAAGAACTCCACTGTTGGAAGAATAAGACAAGAATTCCAATGATTCGAACGAAAAGATAAGAATTCAAATGTTTAGAAGGATACAATCAGAATTCCAATGTTTGAAAGGATAAGAAAAGAATTCCAATGTTTGGAAGGGTAAGATAAGATTTCTAACGATTATAAGTATGGGACAGGAATTCAAATGTTCGGGAGGGTAAGATAAGAAAAACAATGTTTCAAAGGACAAAATAAAAATTCAAATGTTAGACAAGAGTAAGACAAGAGGAGTTCCAATGTTTTGAAGGATAAGATAATAAATACAATGTTTGGAAGGATATAGGCCAGAATTCCAAAGTTTGGAGGTGCAAGATCAGTGTTTGAATGTTTTAACGGAAAAGGCCAGAATTCAAAAGTTTGGAAGTGTATTTTTAATGTTTGGAAGGATAAGGCCAGAATTCCAAAGTTTGGATGTGTAAGATAAGTATTTCAATGTTTGGAAGGATAAGGCCAGAATTCCAACGTTTGAAAAGATAAGATCAGAATGCCAATCTTTTGAAGGATAATGTGATAATTCCAATGCTTGCAAGGACAGGATCTGTATTCTAAAAGTTCAAGGATAAGGGCAAAAATTCCAGTGTTTGGAATGATTACATTCAGAATTTTAATGTTTGGAAAGATTAATTTTACGTGCACAGAATTAAAATTTTGGGAAGAAAGAAATTCAGATTTCAAATGGTTGGAGTGATGCCATTTACTTTTCAAATATTTGGAGGAATACCAATCATAGTTTGAAGGGTGGTTAGCAGTCAAACAGTTCAGAAGCTTAGTACTCAACCGTTTCACAAGCTTAGCGGCTTAGCAGCCCACGAGCTTAGCGGTTAATAGCATCCAGCAATCAATCCCATAAGTGCAGGCTCACCGTACATGGTAGCTTTGCACACTGCTAGGATCTTTGAGTTCTTCATTGAGCATTAGTGCAGTGGTCTGTGGAGTGATTGCTTTAGCATCTTCTAGCTCCCAACCCTTATTTTTCCTCCTTCCACTGTTTCATCAGAGTGACAGTTGCCTGAAATGAGAGCTCATAGCTGGGCTGCATGGATTTGCCAGCCATAGGGGCAGTATTTTATCTAGGGACTGGCTGGTCACAGTGGAATTAAGTCCCTGCGAGTATGCCAGGCACCCACCTTCCACTAAGCAAGGCAGTTGGTTAAATGTTTGGAAGGGTGACAT